AATGTGACTCCTGTGGATGAGCTTGCCTGGTCGTTTTAGACACACAGGCCAGGCATATTCGTTGTTTTTTTTTCTTAGAGAACAAGTGGTACCTGCGAATGAGTTGAGATTTGAAGGTGGCACACAGGAGGCTTTGGGAGGCCTGGTAGGTTCTTTTTGCTGCTGGCCGCCTGCCTCGTCTCAGAACCAGGTCTCCACGCTGTACCCAGCAAGGCACCGAGGGCCCAGCGCAGAGCGTATGTGCACCACCACCTCACTGCACAGGCAGAGCATTTACGGTGCCCCGGCCTCCACGGCTTATCAGTATTTTTAGGTTCTGCTTGAACTTTTGCAAATTTGAAATTCAGATGAGCAAGAAAGTGTAAGGCTTTCATGCAAGCGAGGTGAAAGCACAATGCAGCTGGAGCTTGGCCCACCCTGGGCTGAGACTGATACTTGGAGGAGCGTCCACGTGGAGGAGTCTGCCAGAAAGGAGCGTTTCATGAAAGTCTCAAAGTGTTTAGAACTGCCCAGCTTTGCCCACTTTAAATGTTCTTTTAACTCCAAAATAAAACCAACAAGCATTTATGTCAGGTAGGGACTAAATAAAAATGTCAAGGGCCCAAATTTTTAATGTGAATTTTGGCATCACTTTGTCTTGCTCAGGTATTCTATGTTAAAGGATGTTTTCACCTCCTGTTCAATTCTTAGGGCATGACCAGAAATGCTGACCTTGGGGGTCAGAGGCTCCAGACCTCAACCAAGGATAGGAGCCCCCCTGGGTGGTAGGCATGGTGGGCTCGCCATGCAGGAGCCGTCCCCTGTGGTGTGGGGGAAAGGGATTGAGGGGACTGGCAGAACACAGGCCCTCTTCCGCACTAGGTTGGGCGACTCCTGGGAGTGTCCTCTTGGCCAGTGGTTGCTGTGGTTTTCACAGAAGAATGAAGCAGGAAATTGCAGCTTCCACAGCACTTAGCACAGTGCTGGGTATGGAGGCATTTTAGCCTAGTGACGGTATTTGTCCAGGTTCCCTCAATACGTAATGTCGATTTAGTCACAAAAGCCTCTACCTTGTATAAATGGTGGTGAGGTTTGGTGTAGGTGTGAGTCTCAGATGTTAGCTTTAAAAACTGCAGGATGAGGTCAGAAGTTGGTTGCCATGAAATGAGCACTTGAGAAGTCCGCCTGTCAGGCTTTTAGCAGTGTTGAAAGGAGCCCATATTCTGCCGGGCGTGTGTTTTAAGGCCCTTTCCTTTTGGGCATCTCGTGTCCATGTGCCAGAGTGGAGGAGGGCACAGTCCACGTACGCTAGATTCATACTCACAAGTGACCTGGCTCATGGGCGCTTCAGGCTGAGGTTTGTGTAGTGTTCTTGTGTGTCTGGTAGTGACAGTCAAGGAAGCTACTACTCCCCCTTTGTTGCTTGTTGTCCCTTGGGGTTGGTAGCCGCTATGGCTGTCCCCCTTCCTGTCTGTCTCCCTCCTAATGCTGCCTTCTCACACTGAGGGCAGAGCTGCAGGGTCCCTTTTGTGACTTCCCTGCCCTGATGGAGGGGGCGGGAGGGGGGGCTCCTTCCTAGTGCTTCTCTCCCTCATCCCATTCCCAGTCAGAAGCTCAGACAGTGACAGCAGAGAAAAACTGCAGTCCAGAGGGGCAGGGCTAGGTGGGGCCACAGAACAAAGTGCTTGGAGAGCTGCTGCTTCACCCTCCATTTTAATCAAGGGCCCCTCACCAATTGCTCTTCAGAGCTAGCAAGCAAAGAGACACCCACGCAAGTTCTTGAGCATTGTACAGATTTACTGAAAACCATTCACGCAGCCTTAAAGGAAACTCTGCAGCTTTCTTTTGGGTCAGTATGCATGAAAACCCAGTCATCTGGGCTCTTGGGAGTGGAAAGGGCAAAGGGCTGAGGCTGAACCACATTTAGCAGGTAGATCATGTTTTCAAAAACACTTGCCCTGGCTGTTTTCCTCTTTTGTGAGTGAGCATCATTTTAATGATATTCCCAGCTCCATCCCGCCAGAGCCCCGTGTGCTGTATAGCTACACCAAGCAAAAAGTACTTTGAAACTGGTTGTAGAATTTTGTGAACAGGGGGGCCATAAGGAGAGTGTAGATACGGGGCTGTAAGAGTGAGTCAATTTTAGTTTCCATATGTAAATTTTTTAAATCAGGAGGGAAAAAAAGAGTTGCATGATGCCCTGAATGGATGTCATTATTTAGCTAATCAGTTCTGGACATGTGTTTTAAGGCCCTTTGATGCTCTCTGGAAAGAAACCCAGTTGGTTTCTAATGAAGTGTCCAGAGGAAATGCTGAAGTTGGCCTGGCCAAGACTAGGCTCTGTGCTCCAAGATGCATCGTCTATCATTGAAATCAAGAACAGTGTCTCTCAATCAAGACAGACAGACAGACAGACACACACACACACACACACACACACACACAGAGCTGCACTTGTAGTGGCTCTGGAGCAGACCCTCATGTATCAAGAAAAAGAGGACAAAGACGCATTCTTCCCACTAGCCATTCACACACAGCCCTGCTGCTGACGTCAAAGTGCATTTAGCCATTGACCACCATCAGCGGATAATACTTACTCGGCATTTGAGGCAAGTTCCAGCAGTAACTTACGCTTAGTGATCCTGACAGGAGAGGGAATGGAGCTTAATTTATACCATCTAATAATCTCAGTGCCATAGCCTGGAAAGTTAGCCTTCCAGAATTTCTCCAAGACCTCTCCCCAGCGAAACACAGTACTGTCAATTCCCATTGTTACCAGTGCTGCTCCCAAAATGTAGCTGCTGTTGTGTAGTTTTCACTGTTCAGAAATGAAGGCCGAGGGGCTGGGGATTTAGCTCAGCGGCAAAGCGCCTGCCTGGCAAGCGCAAGGTCGTGAGTTCGGTTCCTGGTACCGGAGAAAAACCAAAAACCAAAAAAAAGAAAGAAAGAAATGAAGGCCGAGTGTCTAATGGGTACACAGAATTTGCAAGGTAGGTGTAGAAATAAGACTTTTGGCTGGATGTAGCGTCTTTGGCTGGATAGAGAACATGGGGGCACTTGCTGCCCGCTAGCTTGTGCAAGGCAGCCTAAGCAGATGGTGGGGTAAGGTGAGGACCAGACTGGAGGCCCTACCCAATCTGCCTTGGAGCAGTGAGTTGTTAAGCTGAGCCAGGAGTGGGGTTAATTCAACCAGCACCATTCATCAGCAGAGAAGAGCCCTGGAACCACCTCCTGAATGGTCCTGATAGCTGCAAGAGAAGGGTGGCAGGGGTCTTCCTGCCCCTTATTGTAGATTCTGCAGGTACAGAAATGGCAGGATTTGGTGTCAGAAATGTCTGCAGACATATCCTGATGCCATTTTCTCTGAAAGATGATCTTGCCTGTTCACCGGAAGATGCATATTGAGGCCGTGCACGCTTCTGCTGTGAAATCCTTTAGGAGAAAGACAACTGGTGTCCAATATCTTCGAGTAATGAACTTATCAGTAACTAGAACACATGAGCTCATTAATCTTAACTTTGCTTTTGGACCATGTGGGAGGTTGGCTTCTCGGGAGACAAAAATTTCATCTCTGTTCTTTTCCGTAAACCCAGTCCCAATTTAGAGTCGAACATATTGCCCTGCTCTCCCTGGAAGCAGTTCATAATGTGTTTGCTTGAACAGTGGATGCCCAGCCGCTTCACACACATGCCCTGGCCAAGCCTGACCCCAAGGCTTTGGGTAGGGTGCAGGTGCCACCTGTGTCCTCCCTTCGCCCCACGCATGCCGCCTCCCCCAGGCGGAGGAATAGTCTAGAGGAAGTTGATGGAAAAGTTAAGGCCAATGGATCCTCCACTTTCAGGCTGTTGAAACTTTCATTCATCCTGCCACTCAGTCTTTGCTTCAACTTCTGCTGTTCCTCTGAAGTCACAGCCTCTACTGAAAACAAAACAAATTTGAGGCTGCAAGGTGGATGAGTCAGTTTGCAGGGGGTGGTCCTGAAAGAACGCAGCTTGTAGAGGAGGCTGCTGGCTTGGACACTGAGCAAGGAGAGACCTGGGGACTCCTGTGGGGTAGACAGGGAGAGCAGGGTTAGGGACCCACTTGGTGGCACTTGACAGCTTGCTCCTGTGGACCTGGCCTAGGACCCTGGGGCTGGCAGGGTGACCAGGCAGTAGGTCGGCAGGGGTGAGAGAAGCAGCCAGCACAGGCAAGAGTCTTCCCGCCCTCCCTCAGGAGCCAACAGGTGCCGCTACCACACAGGCGTAGTGGCCTTCCTAAAAATTGACCAGGAAGCCAGGAGGGAATGGGCCACTCCTTATGCAGTTCCATGTTCCTCTTCATGCTGTGAGCCTTTCTCCTGACCCCCGAGGTCCTCCCTTCGTCTCTACCACCTCCCTGCTCTGCAGCCTCTGCTCAGACTTGCCCTGCTGCTCTCCAGCCAGTGTCTCCCTTGGGCTTCTGTCCTCCAGAGAGAGAGGACCTGAAGCTCCCTCCAGGTGTGCGAGGGCAGGGCAAGTGGGACCTCAATCTCCCGTCTCCTGTGGGGGACTCAAAGCATCGGGTTCCTGGGTTCCTGTTGGCAGTCAGAGCTCAGCATCTCTCACACTACTTTTTCCAGGACTTGAAGTCATCCATTTTCTTTTGAGAGCCCCCACTCACTCCCACCATCCCCTGGAGCCCTGGCTGCACAGGAGGTAGAATGTAATTTAAGCCACAATCATTCCTCCTCCCTCTCTGCCTCCTGGAAATGAGGGGTGTCCTGTGGTGGATATTACAGTTTGCGGAAGCCAGGTAAAATGCTGAACTAGCAGCTCTGTGGTCCTCTGCCTGTGTGACGGCTCGGCGGGGGGTCCAGAGCCCCCTCAGTTCCAAGGGTGGGGGCTGGTCTCGCTGCTGTGGCCAGCTTGGGCCCAGGCAGCAGCTTCTGAGGATGCCACACCCTTGTGTCGCGGGGTGGGGCTGCTGCGAGGAAGCCTTCAGCAGCTGGAGGACTGCTGTGACTGACCCTAACAGTCTCTCCTCTGCTCCTCCCGCTGCAGGTTACGTGTTCTGTATGTTACACCGCCTCCCCGAGCAGCATGACTGTACATTCGACCACATGGGCCGCGGCCGAGAGGAAGCCATCATGAAAATGGTGAAACTGGACCGGAAAGTGGGGCGCTCCTGCCAGCGCATCGGGGAGGGGTGCTCCTGAAGGCCAGGCACGGCCATCACATGACGCTGTTCTTAGTTCACTAATGTTAGCCTTATTTAGGACAAAGTCAGCCAGACACCTTGTACTGGGCACGCGTCAGACTACAGCCAGTCCGTTTCCTTTCTTTAGCCAGCCATCCTGGTACTGTAGTTTAGGGGTTGATGGTGGTTGAAATTGATTTCTGGCTGGTTACTAAGGTGCCTGCTAGCCATTGTATAAAATTAAAACATGAAGAATATTTTTTTTGAGCATGGCTAGTGGATTTAAAACAACACATACCTGTCACTGCTGGAGTCAACCTTACAAAAAGCCTTAAGCGGAAAGCGTTCCAGACGGAGACTCTTGAGTTAATAGAGCAGTAGAAGCTGGGGTTAAAGTTTCCACGACGCACATGGCTTTGCCAGAAACTCTAATGTTTGGCCTTTCACCTCTTCACTTACCCTTAGTCCCAGTAGCCAGGATACCTGATGGCCACGCGTGCCTTGGCCACTGGGAGGCTGCTGACCGTGGCCATGTGGCTGGGCTGGGTGGCGGCCTTGCTCTCCACAGAGCTGGGAATGGGGGGTGGGCAGATTCTTACGGAAATTTTTTTTACCTGACTTGCTATGAAAAAACTCATCCTACAAGAGAAACAATAACCTCACTTTGAAAATTAGCTCCACTCAAGACTAGTCCACGCACGAGGCCCGCCTTCCACACAGGATCCGCGGTCACGGAAAGCAGCCCAGGTGCCCGGCCCTGGTGGCTCTGGTTCCCAGGCGCAGGGATCTGGCAGTCGATCAGAGAAGGCTCATGGCAGCACAGCGGCTGCGGCTGGGGTCTGCAGACGCCTTTCGCAGCCCGGTTTCTACATGGGGAGTTTTTTTTTAAAAAAATGTTTCATAGTCACCAGGCGTCAGGCGTGCTGGGGAAGCTAAGCTGCAGCCCACATAGACTCTGCCCTCACAGCCGGAGCCTGCTCGCTCCTTCCGGGGCCTAGAGGACGGCACCGTGGCCTCCACTCTCGTTTCTATGCAGTCCCATAGTCCAAGGACAACCAGTCCGCCTCTGCCACATGACATGTTTGGAAGGGAAGGCAGCATGCTTCACAAGCGCTGTGGGCCTGGGTCTCTCTGACAGTGGTTTGCACCATGTGACATTTGCTGTCGCAGCTGGAGGTGGGAGGGCAATGCCCAACCGGTGCCTCATGTGGGCAGAGACAAGTTCAGTAGCTGCAGTAGCTTGGGCCGAAAGGAGAGAGGGCTGTGGGCCTGGTTGCCCACATTAGAAAATCATTACCCATCAGCTGAGCGTGGGGCTGGGTAGCCAGGGTGAGGATGCCCTTAAAAGCCTGCATCAGTCCGGTGGTAAGCGGTGCCCGAGCCCCGTCAGGTCCAGGTGGGCGCGGGCAGGTAGCTCCTGCGCAGGCACGGTGGGTCGGCCCACACCCAGGCTACTGACTACTTTAACCCAGCACCTTTCCTTTGTACAAAACCACAAACACTTCATCTCTGTCTGCAAATTAACCGCAGAACATCTGCAACCACAAATGTTTTTGATCCGAAATAATGAAACAGGAAATCATGCTCTTCCCAACCTCCTCCTCCTACCACACCCTCCACCCCGCCAGAGTGGAATCCGCTGCATAATCTCCAGCCTTAATTCTCGCTTCAGGACCCAGACCAGTGTCTTGCCCTGGGGCAGCCCAGAGCAGAGGGGCCAGGTCTGCCCAGTGTTTACCACTGCTGTCAAGCCACGGCCCTCTGGCCACTCTGGCCATCCTCAGTGAGGCACCCGCCTCGGCCCCCCACCAGGCTCAGACCCCGAAGAGGTCGCACGTGTGCGCCCTTCCCAGCTGCCCGAGGCCCCGGCGCCGTGTGGAGCGGCCGTGGGGCACAGGCGGCACACAGGGACCGCAGCCCACGTCCACTTCCGGACGGCAGAGCCGGGGTGGAGGGAGGAAGGGCTTGTTCCCCTGCAGTATCTGTTCTGTGAAGTTTGTTAAATGTAAGGAAAGCTTAAATTCTTGTATCTTTAAAGAGAAAATCTTATTTAACCCTTTTGTGTTCTAGATTTACTTACACACATAGCCTAGAGCTCAGTTTTAGTTTTAACATTGTGAAAATATTAAAAGAATCTTGTAACTTTATTCTTTTTTCTCCTGCTGAAAAAATTAAACCAATCGTATGAACGTTTGGATTTCTCTATTTCGCCGGTTCCCCAAATGCCCCCTAGATAGCGAGGAAGCTGGTAAAACACCTCCCTGGCCACGACTGGGAAGAGATGGGGCTCGGGGCGTGCAGAGTCCTCGGCGCCCTTTGGGGTGACTGTCGGGCCAAGCAGCTGCTTCCCTGGTGTCTCCTGGGTGGTTTCGCCGTGGAGGCACCAGGTGAAGGTGGGAAGACTCTCCGAGGGGCCCTAGGCGCAGGAGTTGGGTGCCTGAGTCCCGGGGGACCTTGGGTCTGGCACCTCAGCCCCGCCCTGGGCAGGCCCCACCGGACGAGTGACACGGTGTCAGTGGAGGGGGAGGGCTGCGTGTGGCACGTGACCTGTGCTACACAGGATGCACTAAGTTTTTGAAATGTTTAAGAAACATTTGGCGGGGCTAAAGCAGGGGACTGCACAGTTTGCACGAGGATGTTTGAAGACCCTTAAATTGAAAGTGAACTGTGGAGGTGAACATGCAGACAGACAAGAGCAAAAGCTGGTCCCCTTCTAGGGGCTTCAGAGAGGTCTTTACGGTGGCGGCAGATGTCTGTAGCAAGAAGGCCGCATGGCAGTCAGCCGCACCTTCGGCCCCTCTCGGCCCACAGAAGGTGGTCACTGAGCGGGAGGTCCCCAGATGGACACAACAGAAATACCCAGGAGAGTCCCAGACAGTACCTCCTCTGCAGCCATTCCACTTGGCAGAGGACAGAGGCTCAGGGCTACACCAGCCTAAAAGGTTCCATAAGCCTAAAAGTGTCAGCACCTGATGTGTGCCTCAGTCAGGGGTCTGGGGGAGCTCTGATCCGGAGGTGTACATAGACTGTTAAGCAGAGAAAAGCAGACAGCTTGTAAATGCCAACAAAAATAGGGAGGAGGAGGAACCGCTGACCCTGCGTGACGCAGCTGTGTTACGTGCACACAGTAACGAAGACACACAAGTGGTAATGAGCACTGCTCTGGCAAGGATGGTGGGAGCTCGGAGCTCGGCACTCATGGCGTGCGGTGAGCAGGCAGGGCATCGTGCCCGAGAGCCGAGGGCACCATTGAGTCTTACTTAGAATGGAAGTAGATGCAGAAGGAAAAGCTCAAAGTTCCAAGTGGTTTTGGGGTATCGGAGGGGAACACAGGAAGCCTATTTACTACTCCTGCTGCTGCTGCTAAACACACGTTTATAACCTTTGTTTTAAAAAAAAGTGCTTTTAAAAAAACGGATGGAAGGGCCCTTGGCGAGTCGGGAGTTCCCTGCTTTTATCTCCTGGGCTGCTGGCCAGCACCTGCCCCCGGGCCAGCCCACAGATCTGCGTGCTGGTGGGAGCCAGGAAGGGCGCTGCAGGGCCCTCCTCAGCTGCAGTGGGTGCTGCTCCCCGTCCTGCTGCAGGCACCGTTCCTGTCTCATCTCCAGTGGGTGAGGGGAAGTACCTCTCACGTGTGGGCACAGGGTAAGCTGCAGCTCCAGCATCTGCCAGCCCACTCACACAGGTATCTTCCTGCCTCACTGCCTCTGCCTAATATGGAAGGGATGCTCAAGCTATACACAATGCATGTTTCAAGTTTTAGAAGTGTATTATAGTAAAAGACCTCTTGCCACTAATCCCCCTCAAAATCTTCCTCCTCGCGGCAAACACTCCTTGCTGATCCCATCACCCTTGCCATTTTCTGAAGCAGTTCTGGAAGTACTCTTTTGTGAATGTCTTTCCATTAAGATCAGAAGTCGGTTGAACATTGCTGCCAAATACCATCCAACAGAAAGGCAGGCTCGTAAAAACGTTACACGTCCTCATCCACCTGTTATACCAGATCTGGGACAGAGAGACTTCTGGCTCTTGCCCAAAGTCTAAATGAGCAGAAAAGGTAAATATTTTGAATTAGTTCTGGACATTGAGGCTGCTGTGAAAGTGCAACTAAAAACACTCAAAAAAAAAGGACTTCCAGGGCTGCCTCAGAAAGTGGCAAGGACAACTGGATCAGTGTGTTCGAAATGAGGGGAAGGATTTTGGGGGAGATTGTCAGTGTGTCTTACTGTAATAAATTCTTAAAAATTTAATGCTCAGCCATATTTTCCAGTCACACCATGTGAGCAGGGACTTCCAAGATGGCCCCGTGCAGAGACAGCTTTTCGAATGATTAGCACCCAGTGTATGTTTACTGAACCAGGGTGAGCAGGCTTGCACAGGTGCGCTGCTGGGTTCCCTGGAGACAGTCCCTGTGGCAGCCATCTTTCCTGCGATGCTCTAAGGGTGCTGTTGAAACGCGCCTTTGCCCACAAGGCTCTGACCATAACCAGCCTTTCCAGGACCTGCTCCCAGAAACCTGCCGTGAAGTGCTGGGACATGTTTTCAAAGACCAGGTGCCCATGCTTGCTGCTTGTGGCAGGGACAGGTTTGAAATGTGGAGAGCCAGAAGCAAGTGTGTGGAGCCCTCTTCCGGCCAGCGGATATGTGAATTTAAAAGCAGACTCACTTATCACGCCCACTCTGGACAGAAAACTCAAGTCAGAAACAGTTTCCAGCGGGGTGTTACCAACACGATGCTACGCTTCCAAGGCTAAGGGTTGATCTGGGAGTGCCTGGCCGTGCCAGAGCCCTGCCGCTCTTACCTGGAAGGAACATATAATGGCTTCTGCACATTTTACAAGATTTCTAAGAATTATGTGGCTGTTCCAGTGTAACTCATGAAGATGAAAGAAGTTGTTCTCGAGTACCATGAATTCCCAAATCAGCCATGCTAGAGGAAAGACTAGGGATGTGTTTGTGTGCCGTATCACACAGTTGTCAAGGAGGTGGTGATCAGAGGACACTGGAGAAGGCGCTACACAGGTGGGGCCAAGTCGGGAAAACTGCCACGCTGCTTTTCTGGATGTTGTTGATAAAGTATTTGTTGAGTTTTTTAAATGATGTAATTTATTCTGAAAGCTTTATTATTTCTATTTTTAAATTTTTATTTATTTATTTTGAGACAGGGTCTTGGGAAGGCCTCAAACTTGCCATCCCTTCTGCCTCAGCCTCCTGAAGATTATAGGCATGTGTCTCTTGGCTGGTGGGTTCCTTTTGGTTTAGTTTGGGGGCTTGTGTGGTGTTTGTTTTGTTTTTGAGACAGAGTCTCACTATGCAGTCCAGGCTGGCCTTGAACTCGCTGTGTAACCCAGGCCAGCCTCAAACTTACAGCAATCCTCCTGCCTCAGCCTCCTGAGTGCTGGGATTACAGAAATGTACCACGATCCCCAGCCTCATATTCATCCTTGAACCTAATTTTGCAGTCATAGTATTTTTAAATGCTGGGGATCAAACTCAGGCTGTGTCTGCTAGGCATGTGCTCTACCATTGAGTGACACCCTGTCCCTTTTATCATTTTCTTAGAGAGATCCTCAGGTTGTATAAACTTTAGGCTGTGTAAAAGCTAGTAAGAAGTTGAGGGCCAGAA